TCAGACGCATATAATCTCTTGAAGGGGAATGATGAGCAAACTGATCTCGTTAGCTCTTGTCGCGTTTGTACTGGTTTCCCCAGCATCTAGATGAACTTTGTGTTGCTGGTAAACGTGAAAATAACCCATGGGCATGCCGCCATCCCGATAACCACTTTTTGAATGGCAGGCTTACACAATGGAACCGTTATTATTTATTGCGGAGGAACACTAATCCACAAAAGTAAGAAGAGGAACATTCAAGCTGCGATCATGTATTAAAATTTAGTGCTTTTGGGCTATGTTCTAACAGCTGTCCACTGCGTTATAGGAATAAACTATCTGAAGTTCTATATAAAAAATAGTTTAAACTCAATCAATCTTTCAGAAGATATGAGGAAATTAAAATCAAACATTAAAGTAAGTTGTGACGTCACTGCAATAATCTATGCTTTTACCCATATTCTCACAACAGGTGACGCTTTTGAATTCATGGCTTTGCGAGCGAATATTATTGCTGGCGCCATCTCCCGGAGGTCGAATCTCTCACAGATTAAAATATTATCGCAATTTTGTTTTGGTTTCCGATGCTGTATAATTTCGGGAATGAATCTAATGTCGTTTTTAAGCGCAATAAAATGGTTTTTATGTGTAATTATAAAAATAATGTTTCTCATGGATTTTTTTTAAGTTCCTGAGAATTATTTAATCTGGTGCTTAAATGCACTTGGGAGACATGACGCGTCTAAACTCTCGTAGTCATCTTATAAGGTTATTAAATAGTGTTAAATATATTTAAAAAAAATTGAGCTTGAGCGCGCACCATTCTGATAAGAGCCCTTATATGCTTTCTCCTTAGACTTTGTATGAAGCGCATTGAGTGCTAGTTAGTCAGTCGCTTGTAATCTTTTGAAGGGAAATGATGTGCGGATTAAAATCGGTAGGTCTTATCGCTTTGGTGCTTTGCCACACTGGGTTTGCCCAGTTTCTCGACGAAAGGTGCGGCGACCCATTCCCGATTGAAATGAGAATAGCAAGGGGGCACCCCGCCCAATCGAGACTCACAACTTGGATGGCAGGCTTGTACAATGGATCCTCTTTTAAATGCGGAGCAACACTAATTCACAAAAGTGAGCAGAACAGCATATAAGCTGTAATCAAATATTTAGTTTTACTGTTTTTAGGCTACGTTCTAACAGCTGCTCACTGCGTATATGAATCCTCATTGGCTGAGGTGTAAGTTCCACTCTGACATGGACCAAATTAAACTCTGATTGATATATAAACTATCTTAGATCCGTTCACTTGGGGGAGTACGACAAGTCCTGCTCTCCTGAAAAATGCCCACACGTCGAGCGTCTCAATGTTAACGCAATTATAGTGCATCCCGAATTTAATGACTATGATTCCTCACATGATATAGCTCTGTTGAGATTGGAGCATGAAGTGATTTACAAACGTGAGTTAGTTATGACAACTAAAAAAAAAAACTTTATAAAAAGCTTTAGCAAGCTGAAGTTTATATACAGCTATATAAATTATAAGGAACCAGTTACTCAGCTAACAAATTTCGAACTAAGTATTTCCCCATAAAACAATTTGTTGGTTACCCATGGTATCAGCTTAAAGAGTTTCAAAACCGATTTTCCTAATTTGAGAATGGTTTAAGTCTGATATTTTCGGAAAATAACGGTTGCTTATTTTCTTGTTTTAGGAACATTTTGTTTTTTTTTTCATTTATTGAAGAAATATTTGTGCTCGACTTCACACCAAATGGAACTGGCAGTTTTGTAATTACTTGGTAGATATTAAAAATAGTGCTTATTTGAAGTGATAAATAGTTTTATTTTGTTCGTCATTTTTGAAAATTTAAGAAATTTATTTAAACAAAATGCGTAATGAAGTACGAAGCAGGCCTTAGTTTTTCGCTTTAAGTAATTAAAGATAGCTCTAAAACTGAGAAAGTCGGAAATGTTTCCTTGATTAGTTGCAAAGCTTGAACTGAAACTAAAGTACCGTTAGCAGGGTAAAGAAATGTTTTATTTTTAATACTTTGCTCGTCTGCAGTCTACATCCGCCCAATTTGCATCATTTTGGATGAGATGGTAACTTCGGATGGCGTGCAGACATTCTCCGCTTTCGGCTGGGGTGCAACACACAAAGAAAGAGAAAGCAAAACTCTGAATACAATCGAACTGCAGCGACGTAGCGATGACAAGTGCCATTATATTAGGGTGAACCAGATCTGCGCCGGCAACAATGATGGCGGCGACAGTTGCAGGGGAGATTCTGGAGGTCCGCTGGCGGTCAGTTACTCCTACAGAGGAAAGGATATTTACGTTCAGTTCGGAGTGGTGAGCAACGGCGTGGAAGCCTGCAATGACAGCGCAGTCTACACAGACGTGAATGCCTACAAGTACTGGATAGCCAACACGGTGTTGGAGGCCGAAACGAGACTTTTGACCGAACACTGCGGAAGCGATTGGGGAAGTGGAATTCTTGTTCGCCTATGGGAGATTTCCCTGTTTGAGCATAATTTCACTGGCGCACTCATCACCAGCCGTAAGTAGATTTGAAATCAGTTTGTTCGTTAACTAATATATTTGTTTCCTAAGGGTTTGTCGTGACTGTTGCCAGTGCCTTCCCCAATGACATACATGAGATGTAGGTGGTAACACAAAGTTTTTTACACAAATATTTTTCCATTTATACTTGCTAATTAAAATCCCTTATTTTTCTATACAGAAAAGTGGAAACCGAATATCTTGGCAGATATGATGTAGACTGGTTTCACAAACATCCGCAGTTCACGGATTCAGCAGGGTCAACGAAGAACAATATAGCAGTAATTAAGCTAGCTAAGAACGTGCCAGACTCAGGTAACTAAATTAACCAAATTAATGGCCACCTCTCTATAGCAAAATTACATTTTTAGTGCTTGTGAAACCGATCTGCATGGGACTGAACACTGCTGCCCCTATGACGTGGACTGCCATGCTCTATAGTTCCAACGATGAAGTTGCCGGCACTCAAAGTGTGACTTTGAACAGAATCGATAATGCAGTCTGCTCCAGGAAAATTGGAATACCTGTAGAGCCCAATCAATTTTGCGTCGAAAAACCTGACGAATTAATGTACATGCCCTATAATACACCTGGTTCTGTAGTGGCTACTGTTGGAACGATCAATGGTGTCGAAAAGTATTTGCTTGCTGGCCTCATAAGCCTTGCTAAGGATGGTGTGATCGTCATTACAAATATTCAAGACCACGAGAAGTGGATAGCGAATGAGTTAAAGTATTGAAAAGAGCATATACCACAATTATTATGAATTTAAAATTTGAATAAAAAAACATTTCAACTGAATCCATATCCAAACAAGAAAGAAAGCAAACTTCGGCAAGCCGAAGTTCATATACCCTTGCAGCTATTGCAAGAATTTAACATTTTTGAAAACATTAAAATTATGATTTACTGCGTATATGTTTAAAAACATTGAAGCTATGATGATTAGCAACCCAATTATTTGATAGTTATTTTATATATTTTTATTATTTCTATGGGAGCTATATGATATAGACGTCCGATTTTGATAAAATCTAAACCATAATTCTGAAATATTTAACCATTGCTATATGTCGAAGAACTGAACAAAAAATAAAAAACAGAAAAGTTATAATTTTTTTCATTTATTTTTCCGATTGTTCCTATGGGAGCTATATGCTATAGTCGTCCGATTTTGATGAAATTTAAACCGTAAATCGGAAATATTTAACCATTACTAAACGTCGAAGAACTAAACAAAAAATTAAAAAACAGCAAAGTTATAATTTTTTTTTCATTTATTTTTCCGATTGTTCCTATGGGAGCTATATGCTATAGTCGTCCGATCCGGCTCGTTCCGACTTATATACTACCTGCAATAGAAAGACAACTTTTGGGAAAGATAGCAGATAGCTTTAAAACTGAGAGACTAGTTTGCATATAAACGGACGGACAGACGGACAGACGGACAGACGGACAGACTGACAGACGGACAGACGGACGGACAGACGGACAGACGGACAGACGGACATGGCTAGATCGACTCTACTAGTGATGCTGATCAAGAATATATATACTTTATAGGGTCGGAGATGTCTCCTTCACTGCGTTGCAAACTTCTGACTGAAATTATAATACCCTCTGCAAGGGTATAAAAATCTGAAATATTAAGCTCTTATGCCCGACCTATTTTTAGACCCACAAATATTAGCGTAATAGGATAAAAGATTCCTTTCCTGTCCCTTTGAGGTATATCTTGATCAAGTTCACTACCGATTCGATCCAGATATGTCTGTCTGTCTCTCCGTATGAACGTCGAGATTTTTGGAAGCTATATGAGGTAGGTTTGGGAACTCAAAAGCAAGCAAAGCCAAGCCTCTTTTTTTAAGTTTGGCCACGTAAAACTCTGTAGACATACATATGGTTGCGATCAAATATTAAATTTTATGTTTATTTGATCAGTTTTTATTGACATTCCAGAAATGTTCAAATTTAATAAGTTATTTTAGAAGTTATTAAAAATAAAAAGTCAACGTCCAAATAGGTTTTCCTTTTGTTGTACAGCTGTAAAATAAGTACCAATAATTATAAACTATTAAATTAAATCTTTCAGAGATCAAAAGATTATCGCATTTTTTTTTCTACGAATGCGTTTAAATTTTGATTTGAATTAAATTGTATTTATGTGTAAGAGAAACAAAATGATTTGAACGAGTTGATAAGTTTATGAATGGGTCTTTAAATGAGTCTTGTCTATATAGTCTCTTATCATACTGATCCGACTTGAAGATTTCGATCTGTGTAACATCAGCAGCTTTAAATTACGTCGGCTTTTACGCGTAATGGGAGAGTAAAAAATATTCTCCGATCATTTAAAAGCGGAATCTAATCTTTAATTGTTTACGTGTATGCGAGCATTCTGATAAGAGGACTTGTTTGCTTTCTCCTGAGACTGTTTTCAGATCGAACCGAGAGCTAGTTAGTCAGTCGCCTATAATCTTCTGAAGCGAAATGAAATGCGGATTGATCTCGATAGCTCTTGCTGCGTTGGTACTTTGCCACAATGGACTTGGCCAACTCCTGGACGAGAGCTGTGACGGACCGTTGCCAATATCCGTGAGAATGACATATGCGGAGCCCGCCAGACCGAGAACCACTTCTTGGATGGCAGGCCTATACAATGGGACTGAATTCTATTGCGGAGGAACTCTTGTTCACAAAAGTAAGGCAAGGAAAATTTAACCTGCGATCATCTTTAAAAGTTTACTGCTTTTAGGCTATGTTCTAACAGCTGCACACTGCGTAAAAGACAGAACACTAGCTGAAGTGTAAGTACCATTCTGACATTGGCCAAAAGAGAAAAACTGCTAATAATGTTTAAACTATCCTATTTTAGAACGGTTCACTTGGGGGAGTACGACAGGTCGTGCTCTGCTAAAATATGCACACACGTCGAGCGTCGTAATGTTTCCGCGATTATAGTGCATCCAAAATTTGACAAACTGAGAATCATAAATGATATAGCCCTGTTGCGACTGGAACAGGAAGTGATTTACAAACGTGAGTAATTAACAAACAAGAAAATAAGAAAACATCGGCAAGCCGAAGCTTATATACTCTTGCAGCTACAGCAAAAATGAAATAATCTTTAAGACCTCTAAATTTAGACTTATATGCGTAATTGTTCAAAACATTGAAGCAATATTGATTTACAGCTAAGTTCGTATAGCATATATGATATGAAAATTAAATCAACGAGAGTTAACGCGAGTTAAAATAACGCGAAACGGACGGACAGACGGACAGACATGGCTAGATCGACTGTTGTAGTGATGCTGATCAAGAATTTATAAACTTTATAGGGTCTTTCACTGCGTTGCAAACTTCTGACTGAAATTATAATAGCCTCTGCAAGGGTATAAAAACAAAGAAGATAAAATGCTTGTTTTCTTTTCCTCTTTGCAGTCTACATACGTCCAATTTGCATCATTGTGGATGAGCTGGTTACTTCGGATGGAGTGCAGACATTCTCTGCTTTCGGCTGGGGTAAAACACACGAAGAAGAAGAAAGCAAAATTTTAAATACCCTCGAACTACAGCGACTTAGCAATGATATGTGCTATTCTAATAATGTGAACCAGATCTGTGCCGGCAGCAATAATGGCGGCGACACCTGTCAAGGAGATTCAGGCGGTCCGCTGGCCACCAGTTTTCCCTACAGGGGAAAGGATAGGTATGTTCAGCTTGGAGTGGTGAGCTACGGCGAGATAAATTGCCGGGGCAACGGAGCCTACACAGACGTGAATGCCTACAAGTACTGGATAGCCAACACGGTGTTGGAGGCCGAAACGAGACTTTTGACCGAACACTGCGGAAGCGATTGGGGAAGTGGAATTCTTGTTCGCCTATGGGAGATTTCCCTGTTTGAGCACAATTTCACTGGCGCACTCATCACCAGCCGTAAGTAGATTTGAAATCAGTTAGTGCGCTTAGTATTATTTTATTTTGTTTACTAAGGATTTGTGGTGACTGTTGCAAGTGCTTTTCCCAAGGATATACATAAAATGTAAGTCGTAAAAAAATCGTTTAAAATGCAGGGTAACGAAAATATCTTTGCAGCAAAGTGGAAACCAGATATCTTGACAGCTATGATGTTGATTGGTTCCACAAACACCCGCAATTCACGTATTCGCCAAAGAAAATACAGAACAACATCGCTGTGATCAAATTAGCTAAAGCTGTGCCAGACTCAGGTAGCTAAATTAACCAATTTAAAGGGCAAAATAATATAAATAATATAACAAAATTACATTTTTAGTGCTTGTGAAACCGATCTGCATGGGACTGAACACTGCTGACACAATGACGTGGACTGCCATGCTCTATAGTTTCAACGATCAAGTTATGGGCACTCAAAGTGTTGCTTTGAAGAGGATCGATAATGCAGCCTGCTCCAGGAAAATTGGAATACCTGTGGAACCCAATCAACTTTGTGTCGACAAACCAAACGAAGCACTTTATGCGCCTTATGATACCCCTGGTTCTGTAATAGCTACTTCTGGTACGATCAACGGTGTCGAAAAATATTTGCTTGCTGGCCTTATTAGCCTTGTTAAGGATGGTGTGATCGTCATTACAAATATTCAAGACCACGAGAAGTGGATAGCGAATGAGCTGAAATATTAATCAATGCTTACACATTTCTTTTAATGCAATAAAAACGCGAATAATCGAAAATTCCATATTAAGCATGTTGCCTAAAATTTCCATTTGTTGAACTTTTGAGCTGGTCAATTTTTTTTCTTGGAAAAAACAACAACGCTTATCTCATAAATGAGTAATGGTGTCCGTTGTCATTGTCACCTTATCAATTAAAGGCAGACGAATTAATATACGAGTATTAAGAGTGAGTAGATGTGAGTACTTGATTTAAACATAAGTATATATTATATTTTAAATTTTGTATGCCATTTTCGTATTTGTCCTATATCTAAAAAAAAAAAATATATATATATATATATGCAAAACCGATTAAATTTTTAAGCATTGTGAACATTTATATTTTGTTGTTGCTTATGGAAACCTGAGGCATCAACAAAAAGGAAGTACAATTTCGGGCTTGTTTTGCTAAGAGTTGACTTTAAGTCCAAACTATGTGTACTGAATGACTTCTTTACTCCAAGCTATAAGCTCTCAGAGGCTTTTAAACTTAGAAACAGCTTGACAGCATCTTACGCTGGTGTCTTGTTTATTGTTAGCTCGTCCTTATACGAAAATAGTTTCGTTTTCACCTGACCCACTTTTACTTGTACTTGGGATCACTGAATTGAGTTGTTGGAAAAAATTTTTGGCCGAGAACTTACCTCGAATCGATGCGCTGCAAATAGTCGAGTCGGCTCAAATGCAATTCGCGCAAATGAAACAAGTTGAGAAAGGCGACGGCCGGCAGTTGGGAAAAACGATTTCCACCCAGGTTCAAATAGGTGAGGTTCGAAAGTTTTGAGAGCTGCTGGGTGGGCACCATCTGCAATAAAAAAGCGAAAAAGTAGCATTTTATTTAGAGAGCATTCAAAACCAAAATGAAAAGTTTGGCCCTTTTGGTTCCTATTAAACATTAATGCGAGCCACTCAGCTTAAAAAACGGTTTGCGGTTTTTAGAAGGATCTATCCTTCAACCCAAAAAATGAACACTAAACAGTAAAAGAGGAAATCAATAGAAAAGCGTTGCTTAAGCGACTGCAGCGGAAACGGAAACGCGCGTCATGTACTTCCCCTTTTCCCCTATTTTTTTTTGTGTTCCATCACTCGCTGCCCAGCAAATTCGTCTGTGTTTTTTCCTTTTTGGGAGGCAATAAAATCAATCTTGCAACGAATTTGTTACAACTACTGAGACAGCTTCGAGGAGAGTGTGGCATGCATAAAAGAAAAGGCTTCTTTTTTTTCGGAAGGAGAGGGCCAAAAGCTTTTGGCTGTAATTTTGGCCGCCACTTGTGTTCACCTTCCTCCACACCCATTACTCGTCATTCGTCTGCCTTTTCCCTTTCTCCGATTATTCCCCCTGCTCCTCTCTCCCCAAACTTTCTCTCCCCTAGCGTGTCGGAAGCTACGTGCCAGTCGTCCGGACACGAATACACTCCGCGATAACGTAATGAACTTCTGGATGGGGGGAAAAACCAGGGGAAGGAGGAAAAAAATAAAGAAAAATGAAGAGAAGAGAGAACAGAGAACAGAGAATGCAGAAAGGGGGAGAGAGCCAAGTGTGTGGCAAAAGAATTCAAATGCTGGCCAAAAGCTCATAAGGCAGCAAAAATGGATGAAAATTAAGAGGCATTACGCATACGCAATGTAGGCCATGCCGGGCAACTGTTTAACCAAATAGCAACACTTTTTAGCCCCCATTATTTATACTGCAGCCCCCCTAGACTTTTTTTATTTCTCTGTGGGTGTTTTCATGTTGGCACTGCACTCAAAGGAAAACCGGCGACTGCTGGACTAATTAAAAGGCTTTTCCAGCAAATTCTTGACGCAGAGCAGCGTGAAAAAGGCTTGAGTAGAAACTGGAAAAAAAGAGAGAAGACCCAGAAAAGAAAATGAAATCATATTGACTTTGATGTTCCAATTTAATTTCCTACTTGTTCTTGCCAGTAAAATACAGAAGCAAAAAGTATTGGAAATGTGAAAACAAGAGCTAATTGTCAAGAAATTTGTAAGGCATTGGGCAAATAAATCTATAAGCAAGCAATGTTTAACTTAACAAAAAAAAACAACTTACCCTTTTAAAAGCCCACATTTTTATAACTCAAATTTGTACAGTCCACACCTGCTAAAATTCTCAGACAGAAAAACATAAAATTTCCAGCAAAACGATTTTGCAGTTGTGCAACCGTTTGCAAAATTTATGCATCAAAATACAAACAAAACTGAATGAAAAATGACAAATAAATATATTCGGATGTACGCACTCAACAAAAATATAGCGAAATATGGTTTTATTGAAACTTTATGCGAATATTTTTGCAATTATTCCGTTTAATCTGAGAGTTTGTGTATATTTATACACTTAATGCAAAATCAAAGCCCACAACAGAGAGTACAAATAGACACATCTCACTCCATTCATCAGCAAATATTTAAGTTGAATTATGAAAATGTAAAATTGTTCAAAAGTTATTTCAACCTGTGCTATTGAAATAAAATGAATTTGTTTGTACAGAAATAGAGGCTTAGAGGCTAATGTAATGGAAAGGGAAAATGGATTTGCATTTTAGGAAACACACAAAATTTTAAATATTTATAATAATCAGTTAGCTGGCCAAACTTTTAACTTTTAGTTTTTTCTCCTTTTAAATTTCAAATCGATCAAAATATTGGACAATATTTTCTTTTTTAAACCTGTGCAAACACAAAATACTTGCATTTTTATTTATCCGTTGTTAAATTCTTTATTTAGTCATTTTCTTAAGTTTCACAATTCATATTGATATTTCTGCCCAATGTTTTTAGGTCAAATCACCTTTGACCAATTACTCGTTTCCTGATTTCAACATCGAGTAACAGATATTGCCTTGTTAGTCAAATCACCGTTTAAACTGGCAGACTAACGCACTTCATAAATCATATTTACCCTTTGCATTTTACAAGCTTCATGAGTTGTTTCAGACTCCAGACACAATGCCCTTGCATTACCCCTCTTTGTTTTCTACACAACTATGCAGATGCAGACAACAATTTCATGCACTAACCGCATGCCAAAATGGGGCAGAATGTCTGACGGCGTCTATATCCTCTGTGCATAATAAAACAACAATCTGTCCAATACGAAAAAGAATGCCATTTGAAAATACCGGAACAGGTTTGCAGCAGGACATCCTAGGAAACCAGGAATAAGGGTTGGGAGAACAGCGAGTGGGTGGTAGACCGACCATATTCCAACTACAAAATTCCAAAAGGTATTTTAAGTAGTTTCGAACTGATTCCGAGCGTCCCATAAATTCCTCTGCACCGTCAGTTGCCGTTTCATACGCGCGGTTGCTGCCCTTGCCATTGCTGCACCTGCTTAGAAACTGCTTTTTAGCCATCAGACAGGACCCACACGCACACGTTATCTCCTCCTAACGACCAAAAGTATATACGTGGCTGTACAGGTGGCTGGGAAGCCACACGGACCAAAGGCAGACGACTTGGAGTCCAAGACTCGGTTGCATTGCATCCATCAGTTTGCATAAATAGGTTCCTGCTGTTGCAACTACACAGAAAACAAATCTAACAAAATCCAACTGGTCAAATTGCACATTTGTGCAAGAATACGTTTGAAGCAATAATAATTTGCTACAAAACATTTTTTTTGCAGTCAGTACTAATTTAAAATAAAAGAGTAATTTCCCATTCTTAAATTTTAGCTTATTAATACATATAAATAAAATATATAAAATTCATTATTAACTTCAAAATGTAACTTAACTTGAAATTAAATTGCAATTTAATAATCAAGTTTTCCAGATATTTATTTGGAAAATAAAATAATTCAATGATATCGACAGCTATTGTAATTTTTCTCCGTGGCCAGGCTATCTGTGATTACATAAAATCGCATTTCTGGAGACTTCATCCCCTTTTTCAGTCCCATAATGTGGTATGCCAGCCAGGAGATGCAATTTCACCCTTGAGCAGGGGATTTGCAGAACTGAACCAAAAGTTCCCCTTCTCTGTCTGCCTCACAAACAGCCTCCGTGCAGGAAAAAGGTGAACTAGTTTGAAGAACAACTAGTTATACAACTAGTTAAAAGAAACTGTTATTAGCCTGGTTATAATCGCAACAAAAATGGTTGCATTTTAGACAAGATAGCTAGTATAAAAAGTACAAGTTCAAGTTTAGTTAGAATATGTGTGACCTCAAAGGGTCTTGGCAATCGTAACCAGTCAGTAACAATATAACTTGGACTAGTTATGTTTAGGCACAATTAAATTCGTTAGAAATTTAAAACGTTGTTTAGCTAAGACCTTAATGGACTCCTAAAAAAACCAAGATTAGGATGTCTTATTATTGACTTTATTTTTTTCCAATCTGTTTGTCTATCTTTGAACACTGTTAAGACCTAACTATACATACATAGGAACTCCTCTCTCTCGGTTTTAAACATCTATTTTCTTTTACTTTCTTCGATCCCACTTCTCAGTTTCAGCTTAATCCTGACCTCGCTCGATTTAAGTCCACAATTTTGCACAATTGTCTGGTCGTAAAGTTTAAGGCAGCTTTAAGCCGACTCAGTTGCTGGGAAACGAGTAGTTTGGCTCTGGGGGAAAAGAAGAAAAGCTGAAAAGCAGGCAGCGTTTAACAAACGAGGAGAACGCTGGCCAAACAGCCGAGGGCCTGAGCAAAGAGTGTGCCACAACACCCACAGCGGCGAAGGAGGCAGCAAAAATCAGGCAACACGGACATGTTTGCATGCATAAATAGCAGAAAGGACATGGCCGGCCGAAAGGACTCGAATGCCCAGTGCGTGTACCCTTGCCTCACATGGGTGTGAGCGGGCGGACAGCAACAACGAGTTATGGTTATTAATTTTGCGTATGCAAAATGCAGCTAGACTCCAGGAAGGACGAACTTAGACGGGGTCGTGTGAGGGGTGGGATATCCGCTTTGGTAAAGTGTTGCTCGCAGGATTTAGTCCTGGCAAAGTGTCGAAATTTATGAGACCAGAAATGCTAGTTTTCTGCGGCTAAGGTTGGAAAATGTT